GTATGACTAGGTGTTTAGTTTTCTAATTAAATTTTTATTGGGTAGAAAAAAATTCTTTCATTTTTTATAAAAAATAAAGTGTAATTTATATAAGTTAAATTGTAAAATAGTAATTTTATTTTTTGGGAAATTGAGGCAAACTGGCAAAGTAATGAATTCACTCAAAAAAATTGTAACCATCCAAACCCTTATTGTTTTCCTTTCAGATGGGTTAGTATCTGATTCCATAGGATAAAATTATCAACTAATTTCTATCAGTAATCCGCTTGAATTCATCTACCTTTGACGCTCTTTTTTTCCTTTTATGAAACCTTTGACCATTTTTTATACAATGGAGTATAAAATTATCAACTTATTTCCTTATTATAGATGTTGAAATCTAATAATGTTTTTTCTAATTTATAACGTCTTAAATAGAGTTTTTATAAATTATTATGCAATATTTGATGCTTTAAATGTTTAATTTCAAATTTTACCAAACCATAAAATATAAGTCATCGGAGACATGCATCTTTTTTTTTTTTTTTGGGGAAGGCATGCATCTTTTATTAAATGATTTCTTATGGTATGAACTATGAAAAACCTTTTTTGTTACAAATTATGGTTCCAAAAGTTTAAAATTTTAAATTCAAACAATAAAATGAATTGCGATTAGGTTGGGAATAGAAAAGGTTATTTATATACCAAGATTATAAGCTGAAATCCTATGATATTAAGTAATTAAGTTTTTGATTTACTAAAAAAAATAAATATATTAAAAGCTTAACGACACTAAAAATCCTCCAACTTTACAAAAGAAGTCATTGTTATCCTTCTACTTTAAAACAGTTCATAATGATCCCTCAATTTTTGAGAAAGGGCCAACCATAATCCCTCCATCGTCGAACGTTATAACACCGTCAATTCACATGTTAATAACATTCTTCAAATTTTAATGGTAGAATTATATCAGTTGGCCCCTTAACTTTAGCTTTTGTGGACTTTGATCCTTAAAATTAAATTTTACTCAATTTAATCCCTAATCTCAACATTTTTTTAATTACAATTTGGTTTTCAAACTTTTGAAAGTGATACGCTCACATAAATCTCAAAAATTCTAATTTTATTAATTTTGGTCCTTTTCTACAATTAATAAAAGTTATATAACTTTTAATAAAATCATATTTAAATATTCAACTTATTTAAATATTAATAAAATAAAATATGAAATTGTAAAGTAAAACATATAAAATAATATAATCAAACTGTAAAATCAAGTCTTCAAAAAGTTTGGAAACCATATTTTAATAAAGAAGTTAAAAATAAGGATTAACTTGAATAAATTTAAATTTTGAAGATCAAAAGGCACAAGAACTGAACTTAAATGGTCAATTATGTTATTTTACCATTAAAATTTCGGAGATTTTAACAAATGAATTGATGGTGTCATACCATCCGTCGAGATGAAGGGATTATGGATGACCCTTTCTTCAAAGTTGAAAGATTATAATGAATTGTTTTAAAGTAGAAGGATGAAAATGATTCTTTTTCTAAAGTTGAAGGATTTTTAGTGACATTAACTTTATATTAAAAAACTGAATTATACTGTAAAAATCTAGAAATATCTAAAAGTATTTTATGATCTCCCCTTTTTGAGAATTAGGTTTCCAAATTTCAACGAAATCTTCCGCAAATCAAAGATATTAGTATCAATGTTGTACATGGAAATGGAATCACAAAATTGTCTTTCTAATCTACTTTTATAAAAAAATCGTAAGAATATCTAGAAAATTATAGTAAATATTTTTGAAAAAATTAATTATTAAGAATATTTAATAAATTTTATAAATATTTATGAATTAGCTTAAAAAAAGTTGATTAGACCGTTAATTTTGTAATTAATTAGTCCGATAAGAATTAATCCCCGCTTACGTGGCAACAGCTAATCCGTCAAGGAACCAGCCCCCCACCTGGGTCCCGCACGCCACATTCATCACCCGCCAACCTCCTCTCCAAAAAATAAATTAAAAATGGAAAACCAAAATCTCTCGCCGATAGTTATCCCTTCATAAAAGCAAAAGCCAGAATCTTATTGCGAGATATAGCGCTGGTGGGCGGGCGAAGGAGAAAAGCTGCGTCTGTCGTTGGTTTCAATGGCGGATTTGGAAAAGCAAGATGGGGCCGAGGAGGAGGAGAGCTTGATAGAGGGAATGGCGGTGTTGGATTTTGACCTGCTGTGCTCCTCCGTCGCGTTGCAGACCCAGGGGAAATGGAGGCAGCTTCAAAATGGTGAAGATCTTGGTCGGGATGGGGAAAACGGCGACTTAGGGGGAGTTTTTAGGATGTGGGAAGGGGAGGTTTTTCTCGATTGCTTCGATGACCGCCGCATCGCTCTCGAATCCGCTTGGTGCGTCTTTGTTGTGTTGGTGTTTGTTTACCTGGAAAAACTCTGGGCTGCCTTTGGTTTTTCGAAATTTTCTTTTTTTGGTGGGAAAATTTCATCTTTTTCTTGAAATTTCCAGATTTTTAGGACTTGTATTTCTTCCCTTTGTTTTTCTTTTTAATTTATTTTTTAGGGTTTTGGGTATGTAATATATAGTCCATGGATCCAGTCAACAGGAGTTAATTTGTTTTAGTTTGTTCAAATAAAAGAATTAAATTTTATTTGTGATGGCCAAAAAAATTATATATTTGTGGGAAATATTGACTTTTCTTTATTATATGTCTGAGTATGTGTTTAATGTTGCAGCTGCCCATGCTACAGATTCGGGAAGAACATGAAGCGGGCTGGTTTCGGTTCTTGCTTTCTTCAGGTAAAATTTCCAATTTTTAGAAGTCAAAATGCCATTTTTAGAAAAGGGTTGTTGTCAATTTTGTGATTGGATAGTCAACTTCTTGTTCGCAAATTGTATGTCTTTCTATTTTTTTTGGATTTTTTTGAGTTTCTTCTAGGGGTAATGACTGAATTCTTCGCTTAATATTGTAGGGAAGTGTATATTTCATTCTTGCTCTCAGTGTCTTTCTCAACTTGATTGCCTTTATTGTGACCAAGCGGCAATGCTTCCTTTATTTGGCTATTGCTTTCACAATATCATTTGGAGCATATATGGGCTTCTTCCGTGCACAGATAAAAAGAAAGTTTAACATCAAGGTCAGAACTTTCTTTTAAATCTTTTCTGAATGCTAGAGTCTAATATATTGTCTTTAGGTTGTCAACTTCTTTCTTTATTTAAGTTGTAGTTGTTTTATATCAGGCTGTGTCCACCCTTCTATCAGTAATTGTAATATGCACTTCTTAGTTGCTGAATCAATTAGAGGTTTGAATTTTGGATTTAGTAGGCTTGTAATGCATTGGTGTTTCTTGAAACTTTTTCTGCAATTGTGGTAACTATAAGTTACTAAATTTCTATTGCTTTCATGTTCTTCTGGGACTGAATTTTGATGGAATGAGATAAAATCAAATGAGAAATTGTTTTATGGTGGTGTCTAGGTGGAAATGGTGGTTGATTGACAATGGCAATGGTAGAGTGTGTGTGTGTGTGTGTGTGCGTGTTTTTCCTTCCACTCTTTTGGACTGAAAGTTGACCTTCGAGTTGGAAACCATACAAAATAAACCAAAGAAGGCATCAGTGCAAGTAATGGCATATACAAGAGTTGTGGTAATGTCCTGTTGGTGACCGTAATGCATGTGGAATTTTGGAATAGAAACTAGCAATCAGAGGATGTAGGTTCTTTATATTCCTCTACTGACCTTTGATTTAAGTCTGACATTGTCTTGTCTCTAAGACTAATATCCTTTTCTTCCTTTTGCTTATCAAAGCATAAACTTGGATAAATTGCCACATATAAAAATGTCTTTACTTTCCCCTTTCTTGCATACAAAATTTTCCTAATACACTGACTTCTTTGGGAATTATGATTTTTTGCAGGGTAAGGATAGCTTCTTGGATGATTGGATATCCCATCTTTTCTGCCCTTGCTGCACATTGTCTCAGGTTCTTCTCCTAACAAAGCCCAAGTTTTCAAAGTTTGAATATCGTATTTCCATCACAACCAAATGGCATCCAAAGTTCACTTGATCACAATTTAGTGTTTTTAAAATTGTAAAAAAAGGAGGATTAAAAATTCATAACCTATATAGTATAGGTTTGTCTAAAATTAGGCCATATCTTGGGCTCTCTGATTCTTGAATATCAATAATTAGTGTTATTCATGTATGGATCAGGAATCTCGAACATTGGAGATGAACAATGTCCATGAAGGAACTTGGCATGGTCGTGGTGATACAATATGCATAGGTAGCTATAGTGAAGGGAGCAACATTGAACTACACCCTCCTCTTGTGTCAACCAAGTCTCCTGATCCCTACTTCATGGAAAAGAGTTTGAATGGTGTTAATCATGCTTAAACTAGGGAAGCGGTCTGCATGTCTGGAGACCTTGGCACCTTCATTCCAGCGTCTGCTGCAACACACTGATAACCCATTTAATTTACTGTCAGATGGAAGGAAAATACTTTAGCTGTTCTTGCAGCTTGGACTTGGAAATACAGATTTCTGGATGTCAAATGGTGACCAATATACAAGGAGAGACAACATGGCTTAGTAGCATATAAGAAAACTTCCCACATTCTAGCAATATGAGGAGTTTCAATGACACCCTTGTTCTCTGTATGTAATTTATTGAAGTCATCATTAGATTTGTTAAGAGAACCTTGAAGCTATACCTCATTCATCTTACATTGTTCATTTGGGTAATGCCCTATGCAAAGCCCATGCTGTGCTGTGATTATTTCGTGCATCAATCTCACGAAAATCTCTAAAGAAAAGCGGTTGACTTGTTGCCTGTTTCATGTGGCTTGTTTAAGGAAAAATGCAGCTTCTACTCTGCATTTTGTGTTGTCTTTGGTCCTAGTTTGGCTCGGACCTTCTTTTCTTTTTTTTTTTTTTTCATACAATAATGTCGAGTTGTCTGATTCGATGTTGATTTGTTTATTTGCTAACCTCATCAATTTGAATTGGAAGACCAAGTTGTCTCTATTTTATAAGAAAGATTAAAGTTCTTTTCCACAGGATTGGGTCATATATAGCTAGCTTTGTCTCTATTTTATAAAAAGAATACAAGGTTTCTTCCACAGGATTAGGTGATATCTAGCAAGCTTTAAGGCCTCTGGAATGCATTGGAAAATCTAGTTGGCCTTTTGAATTGCAGCAATGACACCAAACACGCGAGAACAGAACTCTGAGGAGAGGTGCTCGGACTCCTGAAGAAGATTAGAAGTTGATAGCTTACTTTCAGAAATATGGCGTCTGGAACTGGACAGAGACTCCAAAATATGCAGGTTTTAAGAAAGAATTGGAATTTTCATTTTGATGTACTAGTTTCTTTGCCTAATCTCTCAACTTATAGGGGTGCGAAGGTTGGCAAGAGCTGTAGATTTTGTTGGGGGAACTACCTAAGGCCAGGTATTAGGCGTGGAAACTTCACCATGGAAGAAAATGAAATCATACTTCAGTTGCATAAAAGCCTTGAAAATCTGTAAGCTGTCAAAGTTTCCATCAATTTATGGAATTTGAGCAATTTTCACTTGGAAAAGGTAAGTTGTTGAAGTTCATAAAAGTTTCTATCAAGTTG